ACATTAAAAATGTAGTAATTTAATTAACAAAATTTGTTAACTGTAGCGGTGTAGGCGCTCATGTTTTTTCTCTCTCTCTCTTTAAACAGTGAGAAACTGAAAACCAGCGCCCGCGCCGCCGATGCTTAATGTAATTAGAGCCTAAGATAATAAGAGAAAAATCATCGAAACTGTTATTTACATGACAGGGAAGTACAATAAAGTGTTTCGCGAAATTGCCCTATCCCCTATTGCCCTTAATTCCCTTAGTGCCCCGTAGTGGCACTTGTTGTTGGCTGCTCTGTTTGGACTCCAGAGTCGACAGCGGGTGCTGTCCGAGTGTGCCTCACCTCCCGTCCGCGATTCTTCTGGGGCGATGCACCCAGAGTCGCAAACGGGGCAGCCCCGTCACGTTTTCCCTGGTCCGTGGAAGACGGGCCAGGCGCGGGCATCTGCGCTGAGGTTCCCGGCCCTGATTCCTCGAGCGGCCTAGTAACCGACCCAGGTTTCGAGACCGAGGCACCCCGCGCAGTGCCGCCGCTGAAAGTGCTTTCCGGACGTTTTAAACGTGGCCTGTATAAAACCAAGGTGTGCCCGGCAATTTGAGGCACGGAGATTCTCCACCGATGGGTCATTAAGAGGGAACGCGACTACCCATCCGTTCGCATCTTCCCTTGCGTGAAGAATCTTCCATACATCAGTGCGGAGACCTCTATTTTGGGCCCCCAGCAGGCTGATGGCCATCTGCACCGACTCACATCCCTTCTTGAGAATGTATGTGGTGGCGGTGGTGGGCTTCGGAAGCTCGCTTTCCTTAATCAAGGACAGCTGGGCTTCCAGCCACGGCTTCAAATTGCCGATCTTTCCCACAAGCCAGTCTGCACTTGCTTGGTCCATGCAGGTCACAAAAATCCAGGCTGGCTTGTGAGAGAGGCCCAGGAACTTTGGTCCCTCGCCATGCGCTGTTGTGCTCGCTATGTTGCGGATCAGAAACTCCACCAGCTCCATTTGCTCCTCTGACATGGGTTCCGAATTCCGGATACCCACGCGCAGGGAGCCCGCCATTTCGCTGAAAGTTGGTCTGTTCCTGCTTTCAGGTGACGCCATGGTCCTGTGAGCTTTCCTTGCGACACCTCATTTGACCGTCCACGCTTTTGCGCTGTCGGTGTTGGAGATGGTTTAGGCACCCGAAGTTCACTCCAGGGCTTTTCAGATAGAGGCAGAGCTTCTGCGTAGCTCATACCTGTTCTCATCAGGCCCTGTAGTCTCTTCCGGCGAGACCCGCCCAGTCGAATGCGCGGCAGAGCGCTGGATTCCGACAACAGGGGATCCGAAGGACCCGCCTGGTTCGTATCCATAGCCGTAACCGCAGTCACGTCTTTATTGCTGGGTCGACTATCCATCCCAGCAATCGTTTCCTCCAAGGAGAAAATTAAGGTGTTAACGCTTATTTCATTTTCTTTCTCCATACACGCCTCACGAGCAGCTAGGGAATTAAGGGGTCACAACCGGCAGAACCCCGCTTGCTGGCTGAAGGGCATAAGGTTCCCTCGAGGTGCCCTGGTATCGAGAGTGCACCGTTAGCGGCTGGGCTCCCCCCAGACACACATCCATAGGCACGGTACGCCTAACACCATTGGATTGGGTGACGACATTTTAGCCAACGCCTAGCAAATGCTCGGACAAAGTCCAGGCATTTGCTACTGGCTCATGTATTCCCTTCCTATACAATCCTGGGATTGCATAGGAATGGAAGCCACTCGCTCACGTATAGGGTACGTCGTCGTAACACCCCAAAAAAAATTACATAATTATATTTGGATAACATTTTCATGTATAAAAATAATTTTATATTCATGTATAAAGAAATTATATTGGTCATAGATGATTAATATATTTATAAAATGAATTTGGGTAATTTTAATCCCCTCGTCTTGTATATATGCATTTCATTGGGTTACACATACTAAATCTATGAATTACACCACTTTTTCCCTAATAGCCTCTATTATTGACTATATTTCAAAACAAATTCCTACACTATCCAAATGTATAACTTTTCTGTCTACTTACATCCTATTCAGAGAACTATAAATGTTTTTTCCGTGATCCTATTGATGCTGGATTTAAAAGAGCGTTTTTTTATATAATTATTTTTTTACAAATACTCTGTAAGTTATTTTTCGTATTAGTTCCTACATAATAAAATTCAAGTGAAGGTGTAAAACGTAGAACGTAAATACAATAGTTAATTTAAACTACATATATATGTAGGGAAGAAGGGGCACCTTTGAACATTTTTGATTGTAAAATCCTAAATCATTCTTATTTACTTGTTTTGTTTGCTACAGTAGTTAGACCTATTATTTGGCTATAATCATTCATAATAATCACGATCAAAAAGTTTATAATATTGTTAGAATGCCTATTTTTGTGAGGGAACTCAAATGTTCAAAGGTGCCCATTAACTGGGGCACCTTGGAATTTATCAGTTTAAATGAAAATTACTTATTGGAAAATATCTTTTATTAAATCCGTTATCAAAAATCTTTTACAATATTATATAGTTCTTCAATCTGTTTAGTAAATCTATAATCACAGAACTATTACAAAAAATAAGTTTGGACGGAACCGAAACTCAAAGTTTAAATTATTAACTGAAATTTAAAAACATAATAAAAACTAGAGTAGTACGATACAGAATAAAAATTACTAAAAAAATAAACAAAACCTCTTGTTATAAAAATGTTGGCAGAGGAAGCTAATCAGAGCCTCTAAACGTGTCCAAAGCTGCCCCCTTTGATTGGTTCAAATCTGCCCCATTGGGTACTCTAGAAAGTAACAAACATTTTTCATGCATAAAAACACTTTATGATTGCAAACTGTCCAGAATGTAGTACTCAATTTAATATTTTAGCAATAAAACAATCCATACAATAAGCAAACTTCAACTCATCGTTATCTATATTCTTCCAGCAATATCTTTACAACTATTTTTGAGAATGTTTACTTTTCGACACTGAAACTAAACACTATTTGTAAGTCAATGCTACCACCTCTCAGTTTTTCACCTTCAGTTTTTCGCGCGCGCACGCTGGCCGTTGCCACTGCCAGGTGTGGGGCTCGGTGTTGCCTATTTTAACGTAATTTCCAATACATTTTCACTGACAAACTGACTGCGCAAACATGTTTGTTCTAAACTGCGTTTGTTCTTGCCGCTGTTCAAACGTGCCCCCTTCACCCCTATTATATGCCACATCAACTACATCGGATTTTTTTTATATGTTCTGCCACGCCAAATTTGTTGCCGCACCGCCAGCTCCAGCGCAGTCGAAAAGCTCAAAATATTTTAGAAAAAATAATATATTCCAATATTTCTCCAATAATTTACGTTTGTGTATAAAATTTTTATCATTTTAGATTTATCGAACCCGATGACTTAACGTTCAGTTTGTTTTTGGTCTGAATTTTTTTTGCAGGTTTTTTAAAGAGACTATGAAGTTTTACTATTCCCGCTTCCTGCATTAATTTTTTTCTTCTAAGATTCCCGCCCTGTTTCAGTGACAATCTTTTCTTCTTTTTTTTTTAATTATGCTGGCCATGGAAACAATTGTGGTGGCCATATTTACAGAAATATAATTAAACGTTTATGTTTTCGGCTGACAATCTTTTCCATCCTATAAGATATTTTATTTTTTTCATACTTTTTATTTATTTATTAAGGCTTTGACAAAGCCATCAGCCTAAACATGAAGTTCAATTATGTTTCTGTAAATATGGTCGCCACAAAGAGGATAGGCAATTTGAGGCGGCGTGCTTGGATTGACTCGGGATTCCTTAAAACGGGCCGATACTTACGGGTATTTTAGTTCGAGATTCGTATAATTTCGCGTTTTAACCTTCGATTAAGGTACAATAGCACTATCCTATTCCACTTTAAACTAGATTTCACAAAATAATTGAAAGTCAAAATAAAAACGACACTTCCCTCCAAAAGGTCCAGAGCGAATCTCTTTTCCATACTCTAAGCCCTAGAGTATGGAAAAAAGTTTCCATAGTCTAAGCTCTAGGCCTGTAAGTGACAATCACAAATTGAATTGACAGTTTCCATCGTAGAGTTTCGGAAATCGGAAAGTTTCGTTTTCTCAGTCTACAGTTTCCATCCTCATAGGGTCGTATTCCAGAACTCTACTCAATGCTCAAGTCAAGACTTGAGTAAGATTTAAAGCATTAGATATCATACTCAAGTTCTTGCCATTAGAGTCATATTTCCAGTGCTTGAAACCATACTCAAGTCCTTGCCATTAGGGTCGTATTTCCTGTGCTTGAAATCATATTCAAGTCCTGACTTGAGCATTGAGTAGAGTTCTGGAGTCCGACCCCTAGATTGACACACAGAAAATCTTAGACTATGGAAACCAATAGTTATTTTTTTTACATCCTTTAAGCA